AAGCTTGTTCTTGTAGGAATAACTATGTCACTTGTGTACATTTATGTGGTTGTAATGTAACTTAGAACAGTGTGAGAATTCTTATGATTGAATAAATGTGTGATAATAATAATAATATGGACTATTAAATTAATGTTCTTTAATAAAAATCAAATGTATTTGATTCTATTGCCCTTTTATTTTTTTCTGCACTCTATTCGTACAATTTTGAATTAATTAAATAAAATTATTATGAATTATGAAATTTAAATAATAAATTTTTACATTATTTTATGAGTAGTAATAGTACATAGAATGCTAAATTCAAAGAACATAAGCTGAAGCCGCTAGACGAAATAGCGAATCCGCGTATGAGAGAGGCGCGTGCGCGTCTCATAGCGCTTCATTAAATTAAAAAACAAGACTTTAGAATAATGCGAGTCCCAAAAACTCTTCAGCATCTTGTAGAGGGATGTTTAAACTTTAATTTAGGTACCTGGCAACATCAAAAATAACAATTTTTAATCCGGAAATCGGCCGTTGAAAATCGTCATTTTCGCATTTTTATCAACTTTAATTGTTTATAACTTTAAAACTATCAATTTTAGAGGCATAGTGCATGGGAACTTTTTTGTTTATAATGTGCCAAAAAACCGAAAACAATTCTTTCCAGAGTGAAAAATCCAATTTTTACAATTTGTTTAAAAAAAGTTTGTTTAAACAAATGGGCACCAGATTTCCGGCCGGCATCATCTTGATTCATGTTAAAGAACATCTCACGAATCTGAATATGCAAAAAAATCGAGTCAGAAAATTTCTCCCACGAATGTGAGGTTTTCGCCTTGTCTATTTGTACTTTGTCGAATGTGTTTATTCCGTTATTTGACATTTTCAGTCGTTGGTAAAATTACTGAATTTGTTTTTTATAAATAAAAGTGATGACCTACCTACATTTTAATTCTCATATTTTACTGTTCATAATAAAAAATAAAAGACAAAATCGGGATTAAGTATTTTGATAAAATAGTCCCCAAACTTAATTAACATACAGGGTGTTCCGATTAAAACTTCCCACCTGGAATAATTTTAATTGCAACACCCTGTATAACGTAGACACTTATAAATATTATTATTACGGAGATCTCAACTCAACTGTTAAAAGACACCATCACCATCAAAATATGTTACAGAAAACGACTATGACCAAAATTACCATACTAGCAGTGTCACAACACGCATTTTTTTTTGTAATCCGGATTAAAACTTATTTGAATAAATTCTGGCTTCATTTGTTTTTTTTTAAAACCGAACAAAATTAATTGGTCCTCTTTATACCACTCGTGATTATATTAGGTAAGTGCTAAACAAGTTTATTTTCGTATCGATCGGCTGTTTGTATTTTAATTATGATAATCAGCTAAAGTTGCTAAAACAGGATTCGAGAAAACAGTAATTGATAAAAATAAAAAACAAATGGGGTAATAACTGAAGAATCCGGCTAGGAATACCACAAAACAAAAATGTATAAACAAAAGTATCATCATAAAATCAAATATATAGGGTGTCCCAAAATGAACGCAAGATTTAAATTTTGACCGTTTGTGTTGCCAACGAAAAAAAGATAGCGTAGTGCTGACAGTTCAGGGTTATTTAAAATGAAATGCTACACAAAAGAAAAATGCGTTTTCATTTTTATTAAAAAAAAATTAATAATGAAGGTTTGAGAATGGTGCTCGCTATCGCGACATAATAATCCGGTTTTTTATGCCTAAATTACAAGATTTGAATGTAGATTATTTTATTTCAACAAATGTAAATTTTTCAGTTATTTTCAACAACAATAAGAGGCAATTGTTGAAATAAAAAAAAATTATTACTGACTGACAAGTTTGAAAGATAAATTCATTGCCTACTACAGACTTTTTTATTATTCTCTAAAATCTTGTGTCAGTTAATACGGTTCTTCTTGAAAACCATAAAATTTCTTAAAATTTAACAAGTGTAGAAAAATAAATTAAAATTAAATTCTGCTGTGAATTAATATTATTATTTTTCAATTCGGTCAATGTAAAAAAAATTCTGAACAATTTTAGGGGTGAGTCATCCCCAATGAACACCTTGTAGTGCTTTAATTAACTTTAAATAATAGTCAAAGAAGACTAGTAATAAACCTAAATCATGTACCAAATTTGGTTCTTCTACGGTAAAGTGTTGAAGAGATATTAATTTTTTCGACTTTCCCACTTTGGGGGCTAATAACTTCTCAGGGGTGCCCTGTGTCGGTTCTTATGCGGGACACACTGTATACTTTATGAATCAATAAAAAAATATATAATTTTTAATTAAATGCCTGTGTTTTCTATCAAAATTACTTGTTGCGTGGATTTTGAGACACCGTCTACAAATATGACTATTAACGAATTGAAAACACATTGTAATTACAAAATTTATGGAGAAGCGACTGTAATTAAACAGAATTAGTAACTACGGTGTTAGTCATTGTAAATTTGTTTAAATAATGATTTTCTACGTGCAATAAAAAAGTGATTAAGCGATGGACATGTGTAATTAAAAATTAAATAAGAAACATCCTGCATTTGTTCTTTAAACTAGCGAGACGACCATTTTTCACACTTCATTTAGTGTTCTTACAAGAAAACGAGTCGTTCGTATATGTATAAGTAATACGAAATATAACTCATATAAATTCTTATTATACTGTTCATGTACTTAATGTGGTAGTAAATTGAATTACGATTAATGATCAAGTCGAATAAAACCAGAGTCTTATAAAATTTTAGTATAAAACCTATTAAAAAGTTAGATATTTATTAGCTACCCTATATTCATATACAGGGTGATCCAATTTATGAGTGTACAGACCATCGACATAATAAGTTGAAGATAAATTACAAATAAACTGTAAAATATTCAAAATCTATCTCTCTAAGTGCAATTTCATTATTACCTACAGATTAAAAAAAACAGTCTCAAAGTCAAATTAAAAAGATTTTAAGAAACTTGGCACATTTTTTTACTTTATTACAAAAGTATTAAGTTAATTCAAACAAATTAAAAAAAAAAAATTTAAACTCTTGTCAAATGAAGTCAAACAATATTTTTCGATACCAGAAATCTAGAACATATTTGAGACTATAATTTCGAAACGTCATTTTTTCCAAAAGTTTTGTGTTTTTTATATAATTTTATTTTATTAATATTTATTAAATAACAATCTTAAGTAAAATGTGGAAAGATCTTTGCATAGTAGCTTTTTTACGAGTTGGTGTTTGTTAAAAGTGAACAACAAGAAAACAAAATTTATTTGATATTATTTTTTAAGAAAAACATTTTTTAAATTTATTTGAATAGTTCATTACCTTTGTAACAAGTAAAAATGTCAGAGCTAATAACAGTATGTGTTTTTTTGAAAAAAGAAATAATAATAATGCTTCTAAAAACCAGTAAATTCTAAAAGAATGCATATATTTTTGTTTTATTTATCGATTTCTTTTTATATAAAATCAAATAAAATGCCTAAAAATGACCTACCACTATTTTTGCAATTTTAAGGGGAGTCTTTCCTATAAAGTTTTTATTTAGGACGCTTCATTAAAATGGCACAGGGTGTTAAACTTCAAAAAATATTTTTAATGTTTTTAAATAATTTAAAAACTAGTAAGTAAAATAATTTGAAATTGGGCACATGTATTTATATAAACATTATCTAAAATCTGAGAGCTTTTCCTAAAATTTACATGATCCAGTGGCGGAGATACAGGGTATTGGTGGTATATTTTTCTAAATAAAATAGTACGCCACTGCTTTACGGCAACAATTTGATATTTTCCGATTAGCCTTTCATTTTTCTACGAATTACTACTTTATTATGTTTTTCAAAAAAAGCCTGATTTTCGAGTAAAGCTTAAAAAACGAACTGCGGCCAATTTCAAATTATTTTACTTACTAAATGTAGTTTTTAAATTATTTAAAAAAGTTTAACACCCTGTATCTTTTTAACGAAGCGTCCTAAATAAAAACTTTATAGGAAAGACTCCCTCCCTTTAAAATTCACCAAAGAATACGAGGTTTCACTTTTGATCACCATTTGTGAATCACCCATAATTTTATTCTATTAATATTTATTAATTAACAATTTTAAGTAAAATATGAAAAATCCATAGTAGCTTTTTTGTACGAGCTGGTATTTGTTGAAGATTATGTTAGAACAACAAAAAAAAAACAAGATTCGTTTGATAAGATTTTTTAAGAAAAACATTTTTTGAATTTATTTGAGTAGTTTACTACCTTTGTAACAAAAATGCGAGAGCTAATAATAGAATGTGTCTTTTGAAAAAAAAAATAATAGTATAATGCTTCTAAAAACCAGTAAACTCTGAAACAGTGCATATTTTTTTTGTTAGAGGCAAATTTTTCGATTTCTTTTTATCTAAAGTCAAATAACACCCCTCAAAATGACTTTCTAACATTTTGTTTTAATATACTTGTAAAATTTAACAATAAATTGTAGTTATACCTATTTGTGCATTTTAGTTACTTGTTATTTTAGCTACTCTTTTCAATAATGTACATTGAAAAAAGGATAACTTACATTTTTCCACGAAATATTTAATAATGAAAAAAAGTCACAGTCAGACATTCCAAGGGATGTAGAATAAAATAGAATTTATCTGATTTCGCTTAAAAAATCGCTAATACAAATTTTTGAGGTATGTTTAAAAAATGTATTTGAACTTTGTTATTTTAATATAAATTGGAACAAGTATTTTTTTTTATTGAAAAGTTTAAAAATAAATGGAAACTAGTGTGTATTATTTTTAATAATTACTTTCTTTCAACATCAATATTCAATCGAAGAAATTAATTTGAATTTTTAAATGAAGTTGTTTAAAATATTCGCTAAAAAATTTAAAAACTTGTCGCTAACAACAATCTATTTTAAGATATCCCGATCAGGTTTTTCTAGTTCTTGTAAAAGCATATGAAAAAAAAAAACTCACTGAAACTGCCGCTGTACGATCCTCCCTTAACGTCGTGGCCGGCCGCTGCAAAGAAAACACAAAAACAAACTTAATTTAACCCGGCAAAAAGAATTGAAGCAATCACAAACCACTTACACAGATTCGCGGCGACTATCAGCAACCACAACAAACTCAGTTTATGTTTCATGGCCAAACGCAATTGTATCTCCTTACCCTACCTGTTCTTCACTAATCGGAGATCTGGAAACCAACTATTTATATGTATTCTGCATAACGAGTTTGGAGGCAAGAAAAATATGAATTCCCATTAGACGAGCCGTGTAAGACCGCTGGTTTTTTCTGTCTACCTATCCCGACATCCGTAGGTCTTCTGTGGAGAAAAAATAGTTAACGGTAGTTGTTTTTTGTGCTCCCTGGGTCTCTGGCTGTGGGTGAGATTGATGGAGATGTACTGTAACTGTAACATGGATTACTCTGGCCAGAACTGATAGAAGATAAGTATAGAAAAAGGTGAACACGAAATTTGAAAAAATCGCTATGGTTGCGATGTACTGTTATAACGCTTGGTAGTACAGGGTGTCTCAATCTCGATAGTATGGGCCTACTGTGAGGATACAAAAAATTTAAATACAATTTGGGACACGTGGTGTTAAATGGGATGAGGTAAGCTCCATTTTCAACCGAAAGTATTACACCACCACACATAAAATAAAGTTGTCTGAAATGTACATGCGACATATTATTTCCGATGTACTTTCGCCCGCTGAACACGAATCCGGAGTCAGAATTGCTCCATCACCCTTCAATTATCAGCAAAACGCTGAAGAATCTTCTGAAAAATGAAAATTTTCCCTAATGATAGATCTTATAGATGGGTAACGTTCGTTATGAGCAATACAAAGTTTTCTAAAATTTTTGCCCGCTAAATACGGGTCCGTAATGAGGGTTTTTAATCAACCTTAATTCTTCAGGGAAATTCAAAAGAATCTTCACGAAAATTAAAACTATCAGCTTTGCTTGTGATACATATTTTCCATAGTATTTCTCCCGCTGAACTTTGATACGAAATCTTTTTTTACTCCACTTACCTTCCGTCTTCAGAAAAATTCGGAAGAATCTCCAGAAACATGAAGACGTCGTGATTATTAACTATATCTGAAACTCCATTTATAGTATGTAGTTTAAAGTATTTGTAGTATGATTTCGAAGTATTTTTGCATACTGAACATGGATCCGGAATCTGAATTTATCCATTTTTCTTCAGTCTTCAGTAAAGCCCAGAAGAGTTCACAAAAATGGTAAATATATGAATATGTACATGCTATATATATACTTTCCAAAGCATCATTACTTACGAATTCGATGTTAGAATTAGGTCCACAAAAACAAATGGATCATGTATGCCGCTACAGCAAATACCAACTAATACTGAAGAACTTCAATATCTTAAGATTCATTAGAGCTTTACTCGATACTAAAGTATGATGTATCTATTCAGATGCTAAATAAAAGATACTGAATCAAAATATTAAGGGAACTATGAATCATGCATAAGGAACAACTTTCACGCACGAAGTCTTCATTCTTCTTAAGATTCTCCTGGGTTTTGCTAAAACCTAAAGAAAGAAATACTCTAATTTGAAAGCCGTGTTCAGCGGGAGAAAAGGTACGAAAAACATGTATCACACGACAAGCTTCAACTAACAAGCTGAGAGTTTTAATTCACAATTTGGAGTATTTGCCTGAGCGTCACATTGAAATCAGACTTAATTTTATAGCTCAAATTGTAGTAAATGTAGAAACTGTTGATCAGAACCTTTTGTTAGTAATGATTGCCAAACAGGAGGAACGAACACTACTAGTCCATTGGAAATCCCCACATTGTAAATCCAGTCCAAAACCAAGGCCATTTTGGAGTAAACGTACGATGCGGCATCATAGGTAGGCATATAATAGGCCCATTCAGTAAAAATTTTTTATTGCATATTTCAAAAGTTTACCCTTTAATTAGTTAGTATGCCAAAAATCAATTTTTTGTTTCAACGAGAAATGTGTGAAATAAATTAATGAAAACAGAGCGCGGAAAAACGTTGAGCAACCATTGCCTGACGTCATAATAGAGCACTCCGCTCACGCTCGCTCTCTTCCCATTCTGTGTTAATACATACGATATGTGGATCGATTCGCAGTTTCGTTAATTATTGTTTTTATGTCTAAATGGGTCGAAACCGAGGATTGTACAAATATTGTATAGTTCCAGGCTGCAAAAGTACCTCAGGATCGACTCCGAATAAAATATTTATTTCATTACCGAAAAATGAAAAGTTTGTGTGATGTTATCCACGGTTTCCCCAGCCACGGTATGCAACTCAAAACCACCTTCGTTTTTCTTTGGATGCACGTCTAGGGGGTTGTAAAATATTATTATTTGAACATTTAGAGCACAATTCTCAACTTTATGCCGGAAATAAATTCTGCCCCATCTAAATGTTCGTGTTCACAAAAAATTCGAAATACGACGGCGACAGGGACCTATAAGCAGTTAAGAACCACTCTAGTTTTTCTTTGGTTTTCCATCTAGAGGGTTTTAAATATTATTATTTGAACATTTAGAGCAGAATTATAAAATTTATGCTGGAAAAAATTTCTGCCCCATCTAAACGTACCCGTTCACAAAAATTTCGAAATACGTCGGCGAGAGGGACCTATAAGCAACTCAGAACCACCCTCGTTTTTCTTTGGTTGCCCGTCTAAGAGGTTATAAATATTATTATTTAAACATTTAGAGCAGAATTTTCAAATTTATGTCGAAAAAATAAATTCTACCCCATCTAAACGTTCCCGTCCACAAAAATTTCGAAATACGTTGCGAGAGGCACCTATAAGTAATTTATTTAAATAATAATATAGACGGGCAATCAAAGAAAAACGAGGGTGGTTCTGAGTTGCTCGCACATACACGTCGTCGCATACATCCACAAGTACCGAGTCTAGTACGTTGGGTACATTTGTACACAAAATGGAAGGCAAAATTACGTCATTGAGAAAAATCCGAAAATGTATTTAGATATTCCAAGACATTCTATGTTTATAATAAATATGTTGTGTGAAAAATGCATTTCAACAAGACTTGATGTATATCTCTTATACACTCTCTATTTATACACTTAAAAATATAGGTAAAAGTATAGCAAATATCTACACATCTCTCCGACTGCTCGCGATTTGATCGCCGAGTGGCCGGTATCGTGACGTCATTAGCTGTTCTCTCGCAGTGTTGACCTTTTTAAGGGTCTTACAATTTCAGAATTAAATATATCACTTATTATTAATCCTATTGACCTAATTTTTTTAAGATATATTTAGGTGGTTAAATACTATCAGAAAATGAAAGAAAAAGTTTAAAATTATATATCACTGAATGGGCCTATTGGGCCTTATTTTTATGAACATACATTGAACAGCATGAGTTACCTAAATTTCCTACAAGGATAACTTCCTGCACTTCTGGAGAATGTACCTTTGCAGCTAAGGAGAAGCTTATGGTGTCAGCACGACGGGGCTCCACACCACAAGGCCAGGATTATGCAGCAATATTTAGATAACACTTTCCCAGAAAAATGGATTGGGCTTAATGGACCTATTCAGTGTCCCGGAAAGTCACCAGATCTAACACTCCTGGATTTTTTTATGGGACATTTTAAAATATAACGTTTACAAAACACCTTCGCAAGATATTAATCAATTGAAAGAAAAAATCACAATCGCTTGTAATTTTATTTTATTTTATTTTATTTTATTTAATACACTGTTCAACAGGTACTACCCAATTATAGAACAGGAATTTTACAGACAATAATAAAAGAAGTACATTAATTACAAACAAAATTAAAAGGAACAAACAAAGAAAATACAAATACATCATAAAAAAGAAGGAAATAAATAAAATTTATACACTAAATAATACACATAGTATGAAGATTAAATAATACACATAAATGAAGATTAAAATTACATGTTTGAAACTACCACACGTTAAAAATAAAGTTTTTTAAGTCAGTAAGGCTGCAGTTAAAGATATCTAGAGAATTTTATTACAGTTGTTACTGATTTCATAAAGTGGTGAATGTTTGAGTACATTAGTACGAGGAATTGGTAAATAAAATGTTTCGTTTTCTCTAGAGCTAAGTCTAGGTATAGAGAATGATAATTTGGTTGTAAATTCCTGGCAGTCAGCCAAATTACGTAAAATTTTAAAAAGAAAGACCTGCGAAAAGTATTTCCGTCTAGTTTCAAGACTAATAAAGGAATGTCTACTCAAAAGGTCCTCATGCGGATATCCGATATGTGGATAGTAGCCATCATATTTAAAAGTTAAAAATTTAAAAAATCGATTCCAGTTTATTAATGTGGACATCACTGTGCGGAGACCATACGGGGGAGGCATATTCAAGTTTCGATCTAACGTAACTAAAGGAGCTTTATGACATCTAAGCTTGAAAAATCATGACAGTTGCAAACTATAAATCCATACGCTTTATTAGCTTCGGAGACAACGGCATCAATATGATTATTAAATGAAATTTTTTCATCAAATACAACGCCCATTAACTAAATCGTTGATGAATATAATGAATAGTCAATGTCCAACTATGGAACCTTGAGGAACTCCTGATTTAGCGACATACTCAACCGATTTATACCCATTATAAACAATATACTGTTTTCTGTTGTCTAAATATGATTTAAATAAATTCAATTCAATAAGGCCCCTGATACGCCAAACATATCAAGCTTCTGGAGTAAAATTGAGTGATCAAGCCTATCAAACGCCTTGCTGAAGTCCGTATATATAATATCAGTTTGTAAGTTGTTGTCTATAGAATCGGCTATAAATTGCGTAACACGGATCAAATTTGTGACAGTAGAACGTCCTTTCATAAAACCATGCAGACAAGGTGTTATCATATAAGAGATGCTGTAATAATAATAGGCCTGAAGTAATATTTCATAAACTTTACAAAAATTACATATAATGGAGATAGGACGAAAATTAGTAATGTTAAATTTATCACCCTTTTTAAAAATTTGACACACTTTTGAACGCTTCCACAAATCAGGTAACCGACACTTGGTTAGGCATAAGTTGAATAATTTTTTTTTAATGATGTAATGAGTTAAACGGCGAAATGTTAATAAACCCAGCCCACAAAGAAGTCAGGCGAAGATTGGATATGTGTCTTGAAA